TGGTGCCTCCTAGTTCTCTAAAATGGACTATAAAAGTGGATACTGACAAATCAAAATGGATAAAGAAAGTTGAAAAATCTAGAAATCCTCTAGATGTTGATTTGTGATTATGTATCAATTTTAAGCAGAATATAACAATCCCAATCAAACAATCAAACAATCAAGACAGAGAGACACAACGATTTAACGTGGAAAAAACCACAATTGGACACCTCCAACTGTGATCAAAAAACCACGGGCAACAGCCACAAGATCATTTCACAAAGTCGGACTAGAGTCAAGCTCAACAGGGTCTTCTTTCCCCGCTGATTCTGCCAAGCCCGTTCCCTTGGCTGTGGTTTCGCTGGATAGTAGACAGGGACAGTGGGAATCTCGTTAATCCATTCATGCGCGTCACTAATTAGATGACGGGGCATTTGGCTACCTTAAGAGAGTCATAGTTACTCCCGCCGTTTACCCGCGCTTTGTTGAATTTCTTCACTTGACATTCAAAGCACTGGGCAGAAATCACATTGCGTGAGCATCCGCAGGGACCATCGCAATGCCCAGTTGAAGTCTTAAAGCTAAAAACAACTGTTACACATTACAATATTGATTTCACCCGCAACAAGCGTGGTGAAGAGGTAATCTATCCAATCGGGCATGAAACTGCTCTAAGTATTAAAGAAATTAATATTCAGGAAAAATTTAAAAAGAAAAACAAGAAGAAATATGCAAAACTCTATATAGCAAAGATCCATTAAAATTTTGACACAAAGATAGAAGTATAGCTAAAGTATACCTAATCAACTCTAATAAAATAATTAAAATAGAACAAATGGTATATATTTATAATGATATAGAGGAATTTAGAAAAGAGATAGAAGATCTCAAATGTTAAGGATTAAGTAGAGATAGTAAAAATCTACATAGTAGCCCAGCATTTATGATTAGAAACTATGCTGAAATTAAACGAGAGAAAGTCAGAGTGGTAATAAATTACAAAAAATTAAATAATAATTCTAAAAGATATGGTTATTTTATTTCCAATAAGCAAGTCTTTTTTAACAGAATACATGGTGCCTCCTAGTTCTCTAAAATGGACTATAAAAGTGGATACTGACAAATCAAAATGGATAAAGAAAGTATACCACTAACAGCCTTTAATGCGCCACAAGGACATTATGAATGGCTTGTGATGCCAGTTGGATTAAAAAATGCATATCAAATATTTCAAAGAAGAATGGATAACATCTTTAAGAACTAAATAATGTTTGTCTTATATATATATATATATATAAATGATATTTTAATTTTTTCTAAATCTATAGAACATAGAATAGATATCAAAATAATAATAGAAAAATGTGAAGAACATGGAATAGTGTAAGGTGAAAAAAAAATGTGTGTATGCACAAAAGGAAATAGAATTTTTAGGACTTAAAATCAAGACAGGGTCAATAAAAATGCAAAGTCATATATTCTCAAAAAAATTAATAAATTTTTTGATAAAATCAAGGATAGAGACAATTAGAAAGATTTTAGGATGTTTAACTTATGCCTCAAATTTTATAAAAGACATAGTTAAAATAAGAAAACATTTACAAAAGGAACGGAAAAAGGATGAGAGTTGGACTTTGAACTCAGCCGACTTCGCTTTAGTAAAATTCTTAAAAGAAAAGTGTAAAGATTTGCCTACCCTAACTCTTCCTAATGAAAATGATGAGCTAGTGCTAGAAACGGATGCAAGTAACAATCATTGGAGTGCGATATTAAAAATAAAGGAAAATAATCAGCTATGCAGTTGTAGTGGAAGTTTTAATCAAATTGAATGTAAGTATCTCACCATGGAAAGAAAATTATTAGCTATAATAAAAGGAATAGAGAGGTTTTTAATATTTTAACTCCAAAATCATTTTTAATAAGAACTGATTGCAAATGCCTACTAGACTTCATAAATAAAAATTTATCCAATATGCAGGCACAAGAAAGGTTTTTATGATGACAACTCTAGTTAAAACAATTTACCTTTGATATAGAACATATTAATGGTAGTAAAAATAGTTTAGCAGATACTCTAACTCAAGAACTTGCAAATAACTTCCACATCCACAAACTCAAGAACTTGCAAATAACTTCCACATCCACAAGACTCACATTGCCAGAGAAGGAAGCACTCCTAGCAAAGACTCAAGAAGTGCTGGACTTGGTGATCAAAAAAATGCAGGCAACATGGAAGAGCCGTTCTGTGAATGAGCTCATTAGGACCACCCATTTAGTTGCTAAAACCTTTTTACGATTAGAAATATTATATTTATTTCTTCAGCTCCTTTATGATATCCACAATAAAAAGAGAACGTACTTTTGTTAAATTATTTCTGAAATGGTATGAAGAAAGTGTCACCCATCTGAGACCTCAGTAGCGCTACTTTAACGGACAGATAGCCTTGTACTGTTATAGAATGTTAAGGGTTTCATTCAATCCAGATAAGGTCATTAGCCCAAAAGATCTTGTGGTTTCAAATGTGAAAATTGGGAATAGTCAATACATTCAATGTTCCACCTCACTCACAGAGTACCATGTTCTCTCAACTCACCATATTCTAGCAATTCATGGTCAAGAAAATTTATGAAGTCTATAAAGAATATTCAAGCATGGCACCCATCACATTTACAACTGCCCAAATGGAGGTAAATGATAAACGTCTAAATGCAACTCATTATCTAATAAAATTAAAAGACATGAATGATGTGATCCCCTACAAATGCGACTGGCTCAAAGATTAGGACGAACCTTTTATAATTGATCCAACAGAAGCAAGGGTAAGAGTTTTTCATAATATTTCACAAATCTACAAAATCAACAAGGGTTGGGTTTAAATTGGTTAATTATGGAAGGACCACATTTGCAATAACACCATCCTTGATGGAAAAAATAATCATTCTAGGATTGTATTATGAATCAATATATGATTTACTTTAAGTAGATAGATTTAGGGACATTTTTATCTGAAAAAGATGTAAATTTTTAAAAAAAATATCAGATGGAGCAAAATCTAGAAAGATGTGATGAAATGTTTGAAGAATATGATGAGAATTGACCTTAGTAATGTCATGGGTGACGAGGGGATATGAAATCTGGAGAATGCAATGAATTGATAAAACTATGGGCACATTTGCAAAAGCAATGGCTAAATGGGCTACACACCCATGTGACCACTGTTTGTCTTTTGTTTGTTTTCTATCAGCAATAAAATATAATATGTAAACTATTTTATGTTTATAAATTAGATTGAAGTCTAGACTTGAAGTCCACAAGTGCCTATATAAAGGCTTTAAGGGAAAGCAAAAAGGGACACAAATTAGATAAAGTATACTTGAAAATAAGAAAAAAATCTAGATTCTCGGGTTTTCTTAGAGCAAACAATACTATAACAATTTAGAGCAAACAATACTATAACAATCCAACATTTTACAGACACCCATTTTTCCTTGTAAAGTTTATGTTCAATAAATAAAAATCATTTCTTTTCAAGGAAGTATGTGTTGCTTTTATTAATCTTAGATCTCCCACATAACTAAAGAAGCAGTTTCTAAAGTTACAATCTGAGGTAAGAAATGAAACAGCTTTGTACTGAGTCTAAACTAAGGAAGGAAATGTTGAGATTAGCCACCTCTATAAATTGGAAATTTGCCAACGCCAGAGCGCTACGCCGATTACGTTAAGCTAACGGTCAAAATCCTTAGATACTGTTCTTATTTTGAAAGTATAGTGGGCCTAAAATCACAACCGTTTACAATTATAAGAAGTGACAAGAATAAAAAATAAAAAATAAAAATTTATGAGTGGTTATTAGCATTTCTATGTTCAAGATTTGTTGTTAAATCGTAATCAAGTAGTAATACTAATAGCAAATTGTCAACAACGACGTAATTTTTTACAAAATCTACTAAATAGTGATACTACTAAAGAAATGAAATTTATTAGAAAATGAGTTTAAAAAATATCATAAACAATTAGGTCTAATATCTTAAAAAAAATCAAAATTAACTAATTTCCAAATTAGTGCTGCATCAGCCGATCACATCATTTCTGGCAAGTCAGACTTACATAAAGTCAGGGGATTTAACACCATCCGATATTAAGTTCCTAGATTTCAAGGGCAAAATAAAATAATTTTGAAGGTTAAAACTGAGGAATTGTTTTTGCATGTGAATGGAAACTGATAGATGAAATACAAAAGATAACATTTTTTTTTAATAAAAAAAATGTTATGTGCAGAAAAGATAAATGTATATTTCTGATGATATTAACAGCAAAACAAAACAGGACCAGGGGAAAAAAAATAAAAACCACAACGATGGAGGATAGAGCCTACAATGGTGACCAAAGCCAAATGCTCTCAACCAAGAGAAGAGGATAGTCCCGAGATGCTACTTGATGTTGTTAGGCATGAAGGTCACTCCATGTGATCAAGCCACATGGTTGATTTGAAAGAAGAATCACTCACTTCAATCAAGAGAAACTTGTAAAGAACATATGTTCAGAGTCAAAAACCATTTAATCTTTCAAGGATTTCCTAACAAAAAGTAAAATTATACCTAAGCAATTTAACTGCTAATTACAACCAACAAAAAGGTCATATTAAATTCTCACCTTCCGGAACAATTCTTTCATACCCCCACCAGCTGAACTAGGGTAATATATCATAATGCTGTGGTTATCGCCTTCATAAAAACACATCTGAAATTTGTTAGCAATGAAGACTTAAAATTGATATTCGCACTTAAATAGAGATACCAAAATATTTTAAGAAGTAGCATATTTGTAAATGGCCAAAAAAGAAACTTTTATTATATATCCAAGCTGCTCAAAATTTACTCTCAATGATCACAATAAGATTCAGAAACTCATAGCCCTACAAAAATATAGGTTTAAGGCGCTACAAGCAACTGCAATTATCATTTTAACATACATATGGTCCAAACTGTTTTATTCCATAAATGACAACAAAAGAAAATCTCCATTATGGTTCTAATAATATTGTAGAACAGTACTGGAAGACACTTCCCTCCCACTATTCTTACAATCCAAGTTTATGTACTAAGTAAACATCAGATATTGTTGACAAACCAATAAAATATCACATCCAAGAGGGACTGCATCACATCACGTTATTTAGCCCAAATACTCACAACAGAAGTAGCAAAAACACAATGTCCAAATGATTGAGGAAACAAACATACCATTAACAAGCTTCTCCACAAAAGGCTTCCAAAAGCGATTCCCATGAACCTCAATAAAATTTTCTTCCTCAACAACATAATCCAGCTCTTGATACGGCACTTCTCTATTTACAAGGGCATATCTTGGAACAGGAATTCCATGCATTTCAAGACACTTGACTTTGAAAGGAGAAAAGATTAAAAAAAAAAAAATGGCATTTATGTTCAACACTCAATTACCAAAATGGTAATAACTATAAAAAAAAAATGGTAATAACTATCAAAGGAGCCATTAACACAGTAAACTTTAATATGAAGGTACATATAGCAAGCTTCTACAGTTATTGACATGTGAAAAGGAAAGCAAAATCATGTGTATGACCACCTTTCAAATGAAAAATAAGTTCGTCAGTGATCAAGAAAGGGAAGGCCCAGGAGGATCATGGTAAAAAATAGTTGGCTTCAATATCAATGCAAAAGAAGTGAAGCACATATTGTAGGAGCTGGTAGAGTAGAGAATGAATAGAATAAAGAGGAATGGTTAAGGATTCACGTGTCACTAAACCAAGAAGATTCAAACTAGTTATATCATAAAACACAATCTACCAGTACAATGAATACAAACCTTGACAACAAGATGAAGGATAAAAAAGCATACCTCATATACCTTCCTTCTATCATGAAGAAGGTGTTGTGGACCCAATTCATTTACAAGGAAAGGCCTGAAAAACAGAGGATGTACAGCATTCTGAGTAACCATTTATACATTTTGAACAACTGCAAAAGAAGGGTTCAGAAGCCTTTCCTATATTTTTTCTAACAAGGTACATCAAACATATAGTAGTACAAAAAAAATATTACAAACTAGAAACTCATACCACAAAACATTATTTTAAACAAAAAACAAAATAAAACTCAGATAAATAATGAGATTTATTCCACTCATTCCCTTTTCTTCTTGTTCCTCTTCTCCTTTCTCTAATTCATTGTCAACACTACCATAATCTCCAGCAATAATCATGTACTGCTAATAAACTTCAATCCATAATGTTTCTTCGCAGTTAGCCTCCTACCACAATTTTAGGATTTGATTTTTGCCAAGGCTTGGAAAAACCAGTAACTCGTGAGATTTCACAAGAGCTCTCCAAGATTTTACACCATGACCATAAGTGTGCCCTCAAAATCTGTGAATTCTAATGTAACCTAGCTTAATTTGATCAAAGTATTAAACTTCAATTAAAGCCCTTCTTTTTTTCATTTTCATTATGTATGCATGTTATCATGTGTTGGATTTCTAAAACAATTTAGGTACACAAACACATACTTATCCACAATTTCATTTATGATGATTAATTGTATTTCTTCATTGTACTAAGCACCCCCTTTACCGACAGTGCAACATAGAGAAAACATAAATTTATGTTGTAGTTGTAGTTGTAGTTGTACTATGTGCACCTCCTTCAGTCACAAAGAAATTCAAAAAAAAAAAAAAGAAAAGAAAAAAAAGAGTTATTTTCTGAACATATAAAGCATTTGAGAGGAAAAAAGAAAGGGGGGAAGGAGAAAGAAACTTACTTTCTTAATGCAGCATATGCCTCAGCCTTTTTGATTTGAGCGGATAACCAGAGGAATATAAGGCAATCAAGCAATCACATGTTGGCCATCTGAAATAATTTAGACATTGAGATGAATTATTCATCTGGTAGAGACAAACTCCTACACACTAAGGATACCTTCTACTCTAGAAAAAGGTAGCTGAAACAAAATTAATTGAATCTACTTAATCAGGGTTGGGGACACTTCACAAACACACGTGTCTTGTGTTTGGACAAGCCTTCGAACACTTTTTTAAAAATTTTAGAAAGTTGATTTGGGGTCAAAGTAAAATATGAAAGCAAAGAGGGGGCAAAGGAGCAAAAAATAAAAATACACCCACATGTGCATTGATGCTCTGATAACTCTGTACTCTAAATTCATGTTCATCTACATGGATAATAATTTTTTTTTTTTTTTTTGTCATATTCCCACCGTGTTTGTATCCTAATTTTTTTTAAATTGTTGTGTCCCACGTCTGTGTCCATGCTTTTTATCTTGTAATCAGTGACCACTATGTCATCAACACACACAAAGTAAACCACAATAGCATTCGGAGAATGCTTTTCAAGCCGTGAACTCTCAAAGTAACTCAACTAGAAGTAGCCTTCGCAATACTGTACACAAAAATACTTTCCTTAAATTCTTAAGGTGAAAACTCCATCTCTTTATGCCTAAAGTTATTAAGGAAAAAATCCCCAGAAATGGTTCCTGCCAAACAAATGGCCAGGGGACATTTCTCTACAACTACTCTTATATTTCAACAGGATATTACACAGTTGACCACCAAGTTGGTCATCTAAATAAAAATTAAAAAAATAGAGGAAACAATATTTGTAGCTTGCATTTAAGGCATGTAACATTTAACTTATAAAATTAAAAAAATAGGGAAAACCATATTTGTAGCTTCCATTTAAGGCATGTAACATTTAGCTTATAAAATTTATAAATATAAGTTTAATCATCAAATGCTAGTTTAAAGAAGAGGGTATTGTATCATTGGTCAAAATAATGCTTAAAAAATGTGTGTGTGCGTGTGCGCGCGCGCGCGTGAGAGAGAGAGAGATAGTATACATACACATGTCACAAATTAAAATGCATTAAAAATTAATACACGCGCTATTTGTGTTGATGAGAAAGAACTTAGGCTTGCTAGTTCCGGCAGAAGATAAAATCATCCACGTCTTTAATTCAAAAAATTAACTTACACGAAATATCTCCTTCATATCCTCTACAAAAACAATACTAACTAAAAAAAAAAAAAAAAAAAAAACAGAAAATTAAAAATAAAAAAAAAAAAACAACAGAAAGTTAAAAATAAAATGCCAACTCCAAAACAATCAAAGAGCAATACCTCTAAGCAAACATATTATATACAGAGGTAAAAACAGACCATATTGTACACTTGCACATATATGTTTCATCAAACTGCATTGAAATGTACCTCTCTATTGGATCCTCAACAATAACCTTGTCCCCAAAATGTATGATCTTCAACAATATTATAGAGAAATCACCATAAACAACACAGCGAGCAATCAACAAGCAAGCTTGTCATCATAGTTAATGTACGAATTAGAATGCATTGTTACTAAATTGATCCCCACATAGCATTTTTTTTTCTATAATTTTTATTTTTCGCTCCAAATCAATTTGCAGTGGTGAATACAACAAATTATCAATAACAAATCCAATAGCTCAAATTCACCAAAAGCCTGCAGTCTATCCAAAATCTGGCCCGTCAGAGCCGAAAAAACCTATAGCAAATAGTCCTATTAGAATCGATTCGAGAAGATTGTGTTATACAAATAGAAGATTCATGCATGGTTTCATTTTTAGATTACTAGCGGGTGGCACCGCGATGCATGTGTAATTCAGATAAGCAAGCATAAAAATAAATAGTAAAAAAATTAATATGTATGTTGTCTAAATGGTAATAGTGTTCTTAATTAAATCTAAAGTCTTTTGTTCAAATTTGACTTGTGCCCTTTGAATAGTATTTTTTATTTTAGCATAGAAAAATTTGTCACGTGATAGAAGAAGAAGTCGTCGTCACATGACAGAAGGAGAAGCCGTCAACACCAAGTCATTGCTTATATTATATATAGTATAGATAGATATGCAATGCGAGCAACAAGAACAGAACCTCAGAGCCGCATTTCACATTCTTTTCCATTACGCAAACACCAATCGTTATCTTTCTACTAACACTTCCCTCCTCCTCCATCTCTCTCTCTCTCCACAGTTATAGATAGGGTGTCCCTACTAACTGCGCTTTTAAATCTCGCTTTCACTGAAATACGGGTTGTGCGACAGCACAGCAAAAAATAGAAATAACAAAAAAGAATAGGAGGTGCAACTGTGGATCGAGAGAAGAGTGATTGGATTGGAAAAGTGAAATCCTAGATTGATTTGGGTTGGGTTGTGAAATTCAATTTCCAAGCCCAACCTATTTATCAAATGGATCAATGTTAGCCCAGTCTCGCTTTAAGGGCCAAAATATTTTTTTTCAAACCTTAAAAAATAGGACTTAGTTGGACGGGCTAGATGGACCAACAAACAAATGCCCAAATCTCCCGCTCTTGGGGGATGACCCCGTGCAGGTCAATCAGTTTGATCTAATGGGTCAGTCATAGTCGGGTTACGAGTAAGGACTGTCATAAAAAATGAATACCCCTGCGGAAATGTACATATGATAATTTTACCAGCAATGATTGAGGGTCACAATTTTTGTGGCTTAAATGACTCGAAATTGTTAAAACGACGTCGTTTTGAGTACAAAATAACTTTAAAATTGTCAAAACGACGTCGTTTTGACAATTTTGAGCCATTTGAGCCACAAAAATTATGGCCCTCAAACATTTTCCTAATTTTACTATGCACGCTTCCTACCCTATGCACTCTTAAGTTATGCCATTTTTTTCTTTATTTATGATTAATTTTCTTCTTTAGTTATGATTCATGAGATATTTGGTCATGTTTCATGATTGTTTGATTAGGATTTTTTTAATATATTTTTTAGTTATAATTCAAAAAATATAAAATTATATAATTTTTTGTTTAAATTATAAAATGCATACAGTACACACACTTTAAAGGTTATGTACCATCTTTTTCATATATATATATATATATATATATTATTGTATGCCCATGCTTGAAGGCACGGTGTAAATTAAAATAAGTGAACAAAAAGAAGAAAACAATAAAAATAAATAAATAGGGAGGAAAATAAAAAAGGGAGATAAATAAAAAAAATAAAAAGAAAAAGAGGAAGGTGGGATCATGGGATCATTTATGAAATTATTTATGGGATCATGGGAGAGTAGGTGAGAAAAGGAAAAAGTAAGAGAAAAAATGGGAAAAGTAGAAAATATATACGTAGGATACATCATAGCCGTTCTTTTGTAATTTGAACAGATTTGAGCTGTCCAAATGTCTTTAGTAGGACAAAAATATATTAAAGATTCAAAAACCCTCCGAATTTATTATATAGACATATAATTGACTTTTTCTGTGTTGATTTTTTGACTTTTTGATTATTTTAAACAGTTCATACACTTGCCTGAAATATGAAAGGGGAAGGTTGTGTTTGGTTTAGTTTTGGAATTATTATTTGAATACAGAGTTGTAATTTGAGTATGGAATTATGAGTTAAGTTTTGAAAAAAAAAAAAAAAATTTTGAACATCTTCATCTCTTATTCTTTATAGATATTAAATTTTAAACTTCAATAAAAACATCTCCAAATATTTTTAAAAAAATACAGCACAAAAATATATGAAATACAGTGCACATTAAAATAAATAAATAAATATTTAAAATATAAAATATTTACCCTAAGAAAATTTTTAAATATTTAAAATAAATAAATTCAAAAAATTTCAAAATACAACTCAAAACTCTTTTCAAAACTTATAACCAAACAAATTTTCTCTTTTTAAAACTCAACACATAACTCAAAATACGGTTCCACACTGGAATCATGATTCTAAAAATAATTTTAAAAAACAAAATAAAAAAATATTTTTTTGAATTTTAATATTTAAAATTGAGTTTTGAAAAAAGTTTGGTTTTGAGTTTTGAAAAGAGTTTGAGTTGTGTATTTGGTTATGAGTTTTCAAATAATTTTTGAATTGAGTTTTGAGTTGTGTATTTAGTCATGTGTTTTGAAAAAAAAAATTATTGGAATTGTGATTCCAAAACTTAACCAAACATAGCAAAAGGTTTTTTTTTTTTTTTACAATTTTGGACATCTTCATCTCTTACTCTTTACCGATATTAAATTTTAGGGTAAATTACATTTACCTCCCCTGAGGTTTCTGACAAATACAGGGACCTCCTCTGTGGTTTAAATAATTACAGTAACCTCCCCTGCTTTACCTGACAATATCAAGATTCCCCCTTCTGTCAAATTATTCCAAACGGTATTACTTTTTCTATAATAAATTACCTTATTGCCCTTCCTTTTAAAATATTGAAAAATGTTTTTGGATTGGTAGACAGGTTTGGAAGAAACAAACAGTGTTTGGAACAGTATTTTTAGATTTATTTATTTTTAAATATTAAAAATGTTTTTGGATTGGTAGACAGGTTTGGAAGAAACAAACAGTGTTTGGAACAGTATTTTTAGATTTATTTATTTTTAAATATTAAAAATGTTTTTGGATTGGTAGACAGGTTTGGAAGAAACAAACAGTGTTTGGAACAGTATTTTTAGATTTATTTATTTTTAAATATTAAAAATGTTTTTGGATTGGTAGACAGGTTTGGAAGAAACAAACAGTGTTTGGAACAGTATTTTTAGATTTATTTATTTTTAAATATTAAAAATGTTTTTGGATTGGTAGACAGGTTTGGAAGAAACAAACAGTGTTTGGAACAGTATTTTTAGATTTATTTATTTTTAAATATTAAAAATGTTTTTGGATTGGTAGACAGGTTTGGAAGAAACAAACAGTGTTTGGAACAGTATTTTTAGATTTATTTATTTTTAAATATTAAAAATGTTTTTGGATTGGTAGACAGGTTTG